AAGTCATAGACTTGGTATTTGGGATAGAAATAGGATAAGCGAGGTGGCGACTAGAGCTAGTTGGCCTACAGTAGGCCTGTTTTACCATAGACGTGGTTTATGAGGCGAAGGCTTGACCATGAGAATGACTCAGGCGCTTTAGCCTCAAGTTAGTCTCTCAGACGCAGAATGTCGAGTAGCACAGATGCAGTGGCAGGGGTCGAGTGAAATACTTGAATTAAGGAAATAGCAATCAGATCCTACGGGGTATGAGGAAGACTCTGATCCATATTCCCAGCACAAGAGTGAAGGGGGTGAGAAAGCCAGTGTGGATTGTGGAGAGTTCTCATGAAAGCCGCTCAAAAGGGCACACCATACCACATTTAAATAAACAATTGTGACACAAGGATATAGGATTGGCAATTAGCCCAAGGGGGAAGAAGAGATACAATGATTGTTTAGCAGACAATTGGTAAGGGATCGGCTTCACTTGTCTCTTCGACGAGTTGTAGTGTGGTGCTAAGACTGGCAAGACTCACTGACGGTGCCGGTGAGACGCCTGAGAATGTACCATGTCCATGGTCCGACTCTAGAAATTATCATGCAATCTATAGACTCCGGACTAGGTGCGTCCCTCTAAGTCATCCTACTAATATGACCAAGTTGCGAAAACAAGGTCAAACAACTTATATCTCTAGTCTGTCGCACCTCTCGCGCTTTTATCCATAATGCCAGCCCTATGACTTCCCTACGCCATAGTCTTGAGTGCTAACCCCTAAATATTATAATTTTTATACTTACTTTGATAAGGCCCACTCTAGACGTCTCCTCTTTATTTCGGATTGCTCTTATGTGGCTTCCTTACTATTTCTTTTCCTCATGTTCAAAATATTTCCTTGATTTAGTCGTTTTCTTTTTGTTGATATTGCTATTTCCTGATATCTGAGTTTGCTTAAGCAATAGGCAAAGTTTTCGCTATTTTTGTCTTCCAATATCCTGTTCATCAGATTTCTTTCAATCATGATATCGGTGGCCTCTCGAATCTCGCGTCTTCTTGTGTGTTTACCAAATGAGACCCGTCTTTCTGTTGATTTTCATTCGATTTCGTGTCCCGTCCGTGCATTGTGTTCTACTACTGTGGAACAAGTTGTAGTGCGGTTCTAAGAATGGACGGGCTCGTTGATGATGCCGGCGAAATGTCTGGGAGTGTATTAACTCCTCGATCAGACAATGGAAATTATCATGGATACTATGAACCCAGGACAAAGTGCGTTCATCTAGATCTTCTTGACAATACGATAAAGTTGGGAAAGCGAAGTAAAACCACTTTGCTATTTTGTCTTTGCTTCTTACTGAGTCGATCTTGAGCGTGCTGATTCGTGAGCTTTCATATAAGAGATTACTATTTTATGTAGCTCTAGCAATCCTGTAGGCAACATTAGGCTTCTTAAATACCTTCTTTTTAATTATTCTTTGTTGACTTAAAGAAAGTGATCTGAAAATTGTTTGTATTTGGTCTTTTCGCACTTTTGCCGATTTGGTTGCATAGTCTCGGCTAATGGATGTTCACCAGAGGATAGCTATAAACATACTTTTTTTCTCTAGTCTTTCTTTCATTTTTCCAATCTTATAATTCCTCCCACATTTGATTGCTTCAGGTGCACGCTCGCTTAAAGGTTTCAGGTTTCTTTGTGCCACCCAACGCGGTTTCCATCCTCAGTGGCCTCAATGAAGGGCTTTTCGCTTGGCTGACTATCAACTTTCTCACCCATCGTCTCTTGAAAGTTCCTGCGGCAACCTCATCTAGCTATGCTTCACCTATTAATTCCGTATATCCTATCTTGAGGACCTCACCTGTGCACCAATACCAACCTCACTCTTACCCTTCTTATTTGAACGATGAATCTGGTAATCCTGCAGAGGAACACTCGCGCGCTGCCCCGGCAGCTAAGTCCAAAACATTCTTGACTTTCGACCTTGGTGGTCGATCATTACAGGTCACCTTTATGCCTGTCCGTAAAGAGACACTGGAAAATGCACCAAACGGGTTCATGACAACAACGACTGCCCCGGAGGATAAACTGACCCTCGGAAAAGGAGATAACTTCAATCATAGCGTGAGCATAAACCACTTCCGCAATTACTGTCAAAGTTTTACCCCAGACAGCTTTTTACCATTTCGTTTATAGATTTTATCAATAAAACTGGATAACATTAGAGGAATCGCCATATTTTACCTCATCCCTTGCATAAAGTAGTTTCTATAATTTCGTGGGTACCTAAACCTCGACTAGTAAAACCTTGTTTGCATTTTAAGTTTGCTCAATTATATAGATCTTTTGACTATTCCACAAAGGATTCTTTTTTCACACTTGGGTGCAATTCCCGCATTTTTACTTTATCCTTGAAAAAGTTTGGCACGAGCAGTGATAGTTGATCTCCCGACTTCGTCCAAATCCTCTGCCATAGTAGCGATGATAATTTCCAGTGTTAATGTAACCTCGGTATATTCACACACGCTTTGCTCATGTCATTAGTGACGGGCTTTAGCTTCGGGCTAAGACTAGCAAGGCCCACCGGCGATTCCGTTACAATGTCTGGGAATATACGAAGTCTATAATCCTACTCTGGAAATTGTCATGGCTACTATGACAGTGGACCTAAAACAAGGTGCTTTCATCTAGGTTCCCCTAAAAACACGATCACATTTCGAAAGTAAAGTTAGATTAATTTGAATTAACTGTTGGGGCGATTAGAGTGAGTTGCTAATTTTTGCTATTTTTCTCCTCCTGTTGAACGATAAACTTGTTGCCCGGCTGCAGCAACCTCGCTTTTACACCTACAGCTACCTTGGACTCGGTCTCATGTCGGCGCGTCTATCGATGTTTTGCCATACGCACAACAACTTATCTTTGGGAGACAGAATCCGCGAAACATTTGGTCCTTGTCCTCGGGAGCGCCTTCATTCTCCTTGTCTTCCTCCTGGATATAAGGTAAATATGTGGTCCACAATAAATGGCCTCTACACTATAATTTCCTCTTTTTTTCGCATTTTGTTCTTCCTTCTTTTTTTCCTATGTTCTCTTATTTATCACGGGTACTATAAAGTGTTGTATTTTTTTATATAAATTTATTTTGGATCTTATTCGTAAATATGTAGACCAAGATGGTGTGGCCTTCTGTTTGGTCGCAGTCTCCTTTAGCTTTATAGTGTTGGTTCGACCTCCTGTTCACAACTCGGTCGGAACGTCAGAGAGATCTTGTGGAAAGTACCTAGTACTGTGTCCTCTCTCATAGTATTCGTGATTTCCAGCATCGGGCCATTGACTTGGTATATTCCCGAACAGTTCGCCGACATCGTCGTTGAGAGGTGCCATTTTCAGCACAGTTGAGATTTGTCAAAATGACAAGTTAGGGCAATCCCCTTGACCAATTTTCTGTTCTACCCTTGTGATATCACTCTTCTCCCCTATTTTTTGTTCTACTTTCTAGTGCTACATCTCTTTCTCTCAACACCGCTTAATATGACCCATCTACCTATTCATACAATTCTGTCCTCATTTCCCCCAGTGCCGCCTAAGAGTGTTTCACTACAAGTTAGTTTTGTGATGCGCATTCATCACCACCAGTACCCGGTGCTATGTTCAGGGCTCCTAATCTTCATTCAGTACCCCTTCTACTCCGCTTCTCAATCGGTTGCTGCTAAACATCAAAATCATTTGTATTGTTTATTTTGATGCACTAGGTATTCGCAAAATCCGGATTGCTTTGCCGAATTTCAACCGGACGATTACGATCTCTCCAGTGCCTAACAGTTAGACAATTTGTGTAGCTAAACAAGAAGCCTCTATGTTTTGCTTTTCAGGCTCGTCAAGCGATTTGTGAATTTTTTTTAAATATTTTCTTTATGGTTTTATGTATAAATGATCTTTTATGGGTTGAAGAGGTACCACAAAATCGCTCGACTGAGGTCAGATGTGGTTTTAACATTACGATTTTCATATATTAACACTAAGCTGGTGTGCCCTTGGATTTGGCCGAGGTTTCCCTCAACTGTATAGGTTAGGTTTGACCTCGTTTTCGTAACTTGGTCGGAACATCAGCAATACTTTGTGAAACTTTCCCAGTACTAAGTCTTCTGTCACTGTAGTCATGATAGTTTCCAGCATCGTTTCGCTGGCATCGCCATTGAGAGGCCCCATCCCTAGCACAGTTAAAGTGACAAGTGAAGTCTATCCCTTATCAATTCCCTGTTTGACAGGGTCCCAGAGAATATAGGGGAATAAGGTGAAGGTGGGGAAGAGATTAATATGTCGTGTTAATAAGTCGCTAAATATGATGGAAGCGGATGCCGGAATCGAGGGCCTATATTCATCCACTCAGATAGGACAATGATTGTTAAATGCAGCAGGTAACTGCTTACAAGTGGACTAGATTGCTACAGCTTGGGGTGCGTTGGTAGATAATGTGCCCTAATACACGGTGCGCGAACAATTTCCAGAGTATAAGTCAGTTTATACTTAGAATGAAGGATCATATCAAAAAAAAATCCTATATGTTAAAATAGTTCATCTTTAGGTCACTTTAAAATTATAACCTTATTGAATGTTTCCTACTTGGTAACAATTTTCCGCGCATTAGATTATGGCGAAACCTATAAGAGTATAATTAATGACCCAGACTTAAGTTTGGCTTGCAATGTTGCGTCAATAACGGAGAATTTGATAAGTTAGAAAAAAACGCGTTCCAGCAAGATGCTATACCACCAAATATCTCTTTTTTACCAAAAATTAATGAGCCATGTGTCTTGAGATTATTGTAAATAATAAAGGCGTATGATGGATAAGACGTCAAGATTTATTTGTACTTTATTACAGCAAATCTCTGAAACTTGGAAGATTTTAATTATGAATTTCTACGACTGCAAGGCTAGCTCATTAACAGGTGACAAAAATGGTGATTGGTTTGTTAGTTTTGATGTAGTGTTCACGCACACTAATATTCTGAAACATTCCGGGGAAATGAAACAACATTTTTCTAAACTTTAGGTCGACATATACGAATAAAAAAGTAATTTTATATGCATATTCTCGAGATAACGCTTGTGGAGAATTTCATTTCTTATGAAAGTGCGTGATCAAAAGATTTGTAGATCGATCTCAAGAGAAAACGGCTTATTCTCTTATCAATTCAGCCGTTTGGCTAGAGCTATTTAGGAGAATAGGTACTTGGCGCAACGCCCCGCGACCCCGACGAATCCTTACTGAGTTTTCGTCCGTCATGCTACGGGCATCGTTAGAGCAGGACGCCATGCTTAACGATAATTCACCAAAAACATGAAGGCAAGAAAGGTGGCCAGCTTCAAACCTACTTTTTATAGTACAATTTGGTCCACTTAGGCATCTCTTCTTTTGATTCGATGCCCTAAGCTTTGCCTATATGCCTTAGGTTAAGTGGCTGCGGATCGCATACGAAGTCACTGCAGATGCAGCGTGAAACGGTTACAATTGAAACGTAAGAGCTGCATCTTCCCCCAAAACACGTATGCCTTTGATCCCGCATTGTTACCGCATGTGATTGTGTCCCATTGCACTCGTTTTGCGTGATTGCATTGCTCTTGAAATGGGTGTGATGTTATAATCAAAACCACATTCCAGCCTAATCAAGCCTCCTCTAGCTCGGTGGTACTTCTCGTTACCTCCCCTCTCCCTCTCTAAACCTATCCAATAGCCACAAGTAGTTTCCGCTTAACTTTCAACACTCATTCCTTCTTTTCATGGTCATGTCTGTTTTGTTGATTTCTATTGCCTCTCTAATCTTTCGCTTAATGGCATAGTCTCCATATCCAGCTAAGAGTTTGACATTAGAACAAGCTAGCCAGTGTCCTGTGCGAACCATGTGTTTGGCCAATTCCGATTTTTTGACCCACATACCCTTGTAAGCTGTTTCGTGTTGGGATAATCACTTGTGTATGGGCCTACAGGTCTCTCACACATTGTCACTACCACATGGACACAAAACCTTGTAACAGTCCGATCTGGAGGGTTGGTCAGAGCATTCTCGAAAAGAAGGCAATACCGATGATAGTGTTATTTTATATTCATAAATAGTCTTGATGTCACACCTCAATAATTTGCCATCTTCTTCGACATATTACACGATGGTAGCATAAGGATTCTGGTGGAGTGATGTATTCCCATTCATCTAATTTGATAATATTTTAAAATAATTGTCAACTAGCTCTCATGAGTAATTATTCTCAACCAGAATTATCCTTTTTTATCCTCAGTTCCTCTTCCCAATGTTTAACATATGCCAGACACAGGCTCCTTATTATCACAGACTTCATAACTCCTACATTAACCCCATAAGTATGGTTGGAAAAGAAATTCAAAAGTAAATCTGCATTTCTGGGTTTTCTGTACACATCTCTACCTAATCTGGTCCCCTCTATGCTAGCTAGGGCATAAAGAAAAAGTAAACCGCCTTTCTTTTCTAACTCTATTACGAATTTCGTCTTCCCGTCGATCCTGTTTATCAAACCAAGAAAATTCTCCAGGTTTTCTTTGCCATGTTGCCAAATAGCAAAGTAGTCATTCATATTGCGAACTAATAAGTTAGGAACTAAAAGTGCTTCCTGAATTAAGCGTTCCTCAAATTGAGTCATGTAATTATTTGCTAACTTTGGTACAGTTTAACATTTAAGGCAACATATTTACACTACATCGCTAGGTTGGTCAGTAGCATTATTGACTCTTTACTCAACTTCGTACTCATTAAAATCTTCGCATGTTGATATAGTGTGGAATGCAAGACCTGTATTACATCTACAGGAATGTTAGTGTACATAGACTCAACATCAAAACTTACCAGCAAATCCCCACTTTCTATCTTCTGTTCGTCGACTATGTTAACGAATTCATAAGAATTCTTAACTGAAACCTTTCACGTCTCGGAAATTTGCTTTAACTGGTTACAAATAAATCCTAATGTTTTATGCATCACGCTTCTCTTATTATTCATAATAATTCTAAGTGGCACTTCATCTTTATGTATTTTGGGCAGACCATATGCATTCGGAGGCCTAGTATCTCGTTGAAGAAGCGTGTTATCTTCCACTTCAGTTCCCCGTTTGTTACACAATCCTGCAGGCAACAGCCTGCAAGAGTATATGGGTCAAAAAATCGGA